AGATTTTCCTTTGCAAAAATTGCAGGCTTAAGTCCCCCAGAAGGATTGCCCATCCTCCTAGACAGTTTCTTCAGAGAGCATGGTCCTGATACAATTTGATTTTGGGGACAATCAGCATAAGCAACATGAAAGGAATAAGCTTCTTGTAGGCAAATTGCTAATCCCAGTTTGATGAACCTCTTCATTTTAACCCACAAACAATTTGCTTAAGTGGTTTATAAATATAGGTACCATGAGACCATGTTGCAGTAGTCAGAGTGGCTGAGGCAACCCTAACTAGATTTTCACTGCTTAGATCAAGCTCCCTTCACCTTCCCACACTGATATAGATTGTGAGGGTGAAGGGCGACCGCAAAGAGGTATTAAGTGGTATGTGTACCAACCACCTGAAATTGAAGCCACACACGTGCACAGGGAGTGCACCTGATTTCTCTCTAAATCTGCCCTGCTTTAAATCAGAACTTCCTTCAAAACCGCAATGAAGCTGGTGTGCGGCACTTACTAGGCAGAGACTTACGCTCTCTGATAGTTCTTCGCTTCTTAAATAATCCAGAGTTCCCCAATGAAGAATTTCTCAGAAAATCCACAGGAAGAGACTCCTGATCATTCAGCATGTTCACTGAATCGCTCGCTGAGAAAACTGCCATGAAATGGCATTGGAGAAGATGAAGTCTGAACTGCTGCTGGAACCAGGGCATTCTGTTTTCTTTCCGGAGGCGCTGCATCGTGAGTAGACCCAGCCATGCCTCTTTGATCCAGCAGCTGCTCGTTAGAAGTCCATAGGGAACTGGCAAAGCAGGGAGAGGTCTAAGTCTTGAGCAAGTATGAATATGCTTGGCAGTCTGCAGCAGGGTGTAAGGAAAATTCAGAGCTAACTGCCAGCATAAAAGAGTAACAAAGCCCCTTGCAGCTTACAAGTGAATGTGGGCAGGAAGATCAGAAAACGCAGAAGAGATGTGCGGCATTATGGGGAGAGGCTCAATGCCCCAGCGGCACACCATTAGGCTGCAACAGCACTACAAAGTGAGGTTTTTTGCAGTGGTAGATAGCAGGTCAAAGGCATGCCCAGGTGTTGACTAGTGCTCACCTGCCTGTGCTGGACTTGCTGCAGTCCAGGGATTTTTCAAGATGGATGGCCAGAGGGCACAGTCATGAGCATAGGTCTGGACATGCCCCTAACCATTAGCAGTCAGTCTGCATCACCTACTTAGACCACAAATTTTATAACAATAACAGATAACGATAAAGATAACAGTCATGAGGTATCATGGTGGGACCTGAGGCATCATTGTATTAAACATGAATTTGACTGAAAAAATCATTCATAAACAGATGTAGACAGAACATTTCTGGATGGATGATCTATTTGCTGAGAAAACAGTGGTAATAGACAAGAAAACAGAAAGTGAAAGTAAAGACCGACTCCTGTAGCTTCAGCAGTCCTGTGGATGGGGAACCTGGCTTACAGGTCCTGGCAATTGGACATGTGGATGTTGACTCACAGTGCGATCCTGAGAAAGCTGATCTGGGAGGGAGAGCCAACCATATACCTCCTTCCCATTCCCTCTGCAGAATCATCACCGCAGCCAGCAGGACACGTGGCTGCATCTGCCCTCAGTCCATGTGAGCAGATGGTATCTTCCCACTGGGGCGACATCTGTATGGATACTAATTAGCAAGCCCACAGCCAGATGAGGAAACTAAGTCGGCCAAACACAGCTACCTAGCACACAGCCGTACAGCCAAATCTCAAGGCCTGGTAGACAGATTGGTGTAAACACACGTTAACTCATACATCACCACACGTCTATAAAGCTCTAGCTCTGGTTTTGCATGCTGATACAGAACAATACAAGCCATAAACCAGCTAAATAACCCTAGCAGATAAGAGAGCTTTCATCAAAAGATTTCAGATTCTTTTCTGAGGGAAGGAAATAATCCAGCACATAAGGAGAGATACTTAGGCACAGGGCAGGGATGCAACTTGCCTGGGATTACTCAGGAGGCACAGAACAACCATCTCCTGAACTCAACACAACTGCTTATGCCCATGAACAGAAAGGCCTAAAGGGCTGTAGGGAGCAGAGCTGGTCATTCCCTCTTTCATGCCAAAAATTAGCCTCTGCCCTGACCCCTCTCTGTGGTGAAAGGGCATTGCGGTACTGATAGCATCACCTTTCAGCTGCGCTACAGCAACAGAGAGACCAAGAATTTAGACTCACTTAAAATGCTTGGCTGCTTTTTGTGTGGCTGGAGTTAAATCTTAGTTCCACTGAGCAATTCTGTTCTGCCAAACAAGATTTCTACATCTTTTATTTTAGTTCTTTGAATACTTTTTCCAGTTTCCTGTCTTTAACTGCCACGTAACATGGCTATGCAAAAATAGATGCTAGTTATTATTATTATTGCTGCTTCACAGATGAAGAGTCTGAAGGAAAGGGTGATGCAAACACTAAACAGACTCATCTCAGAATTGGGTTTAGGGCACAAGTATCAGTTCTGTTTTCTACCCACTATGGTGGCATATCTACATGGTCTTGAGAGCCATTCATCATGAAGTCAGCACGTTCTGCGCACTATAAGGCTGCGCCTTATAGCTCTACTCAGTAGGTCCTGGAGCCTCCTCATGAGGTGACTTTTGTTTTGTTTATTTTTAATGGGAACTACAGCAAGGAAAAAACCTAAAATGCTAAGGCTGTAAAGATAAGCAAGCATTCAGATGTTGGGAAACAAGAATAGAAACTTCCATTGCTTTCAGTTCAAGCAGGTTGCGTCTCAACAGATTTCAAGCAGTCTTTCCTCCAAGAGGTTAGAAGTATCCCAAGATAAGCTGTGCTTCTTCCCACCCAGCTCCGAAACACAGCAATTGACAAATTGCTGTGTTTACCAGAAAGGATGGAGACATCTGTCATAAGGCAGCCACATGTATTTCTAACGTTGCTGACTGAGGCACGATGAATGGCTAGGACTTGTGCATAATGTCTTAACACCATCTATTTCCTTAATAATCTCAGCTCCCATTTTCTGTATCTTGATGCTAGGGACCATCCAGGGCCTTCTGCTCCTGAGCCTGAAGTGCACCTCCTCCGATTTTGCATTTTTAATACTATAGAGAGGGGCAATAAACACAGGCATATATGAAGAGCAACAGTAACAGGGAACCCTGCTTGTCTCTAAAGGGTTTATTTAAACTGACCTAAATCCTGAGTAAATTCTGCTCCTGGGAGCAGAAGTGTCAGAACTAGCCATTTAGGCTTTTGTTGTGTTATCTGAACAGGTTACAGGGCAGTGAACTAGCACACAGAAGCCACTAAGAAAGCTCTTGCAGGAAAATTTAACCCTAAATTCCACTCCTGTAAAGATGTTCACTGAAGGTGTACTGATTTAAAATTTAAAATACACTAACAGGTTTTTATTGAGATCTATCTTATCCGACTTGTGTTTGGAAGGTTAGACAAGAAGGGGCAGTCAGGGGTTCATGGACATGTAGCAGCAGAATCAAGGAAGAATGGCTTTGAGCTTATGGCTTGGACATGAGACAAATTTTACATATCAAAGTACGTAATAAACAATGGCCTTATTTCACTGCTGCAGGTAAAGGGTTTGGGAGGTTTTTTTAGCTTTTGTTATAATCACACAGCTTTCTCCTAGGTTCCCTTCATAATTTTTAAAGTTCCCATTTTATGTTGTAGTAATGTGATTATTTGACTCCAAACCAGTAGCGCAGCTAACATTGATTTGATCACCAAACTGCTTGAAACTTCATTCTGTTTGTACCAATACAATTCCTTCCTGTTTATTTTCATTTGATAACATTTACAGAAAGGACTCAACTCAGTCATTTTCTCTTTCTATAATTAGCAAAGATGAAACCAATAGAGAACTGGTTATCCTAAGAGCCTGAGCAGGTCCCTTGTAAATTAATTGCTGGTTCATGGATTCACTAGAGATTTTCTTACAAAATCATACAGTATTATTTCTTGAGAATCTCACCTCAAGACCCCCGATAGGCCTGTTTGAGGAATGGATGGACACTTGTGGCAAAAGAGGTTACTGGCGTAGGACTCTTGCCACATATGATGAAGAAAGGCGAGAGCTGTGTAATGAATGAGGATGGGGCCTCCAGAATGAGAAATGAACTGTTAAAGCAGCTGAACTCTATTGTGAAGGGTGAGATTCTCACCTCATGTTTGCCATAAAACACCCCTGGAAAATACAGAAACAGTTTTTATGGAAGGTCACTTCCATTTTATGCTTTTCATGCCTTTTCCAGACACCGAGTCAAGATCCTGAATTCAGATTTACACAAGTGCTGAATACTCACACCTTAATTGAAACACATTTTAAATGTGTCATCTACAGGGTGAGGGGGAAGGCGGCTTGCCCCCAAAATAATCAAGTCTTCGAGAACTGAAAATCAAATATCCCAAATTAGCAGATACTCAAGATAAATTTGTGCTTCCCTGTGCTTCAATTCTTTCTGAAGAGAAATAACTGCTCTATTATAATTCACAGTATTTTTGTGAACACTGAAATGAGTAAGCACCAAAGAAATATGTCTATGAGAAAATCAATACTTTTTTTAATGGGTTTTGGATGGCGCACATAAAATAAGGAAAAGGGACACCTACTGAATACTGCAAATTTTTGTTTGTAGAACACTGATAAGCCATTTTTATTCCTTTGCAGATCATATAGGATTATTTGTGTTTGTTATTAAAATGATGTACATTTGCATTCTAGCCAGGTCTGTCCTTCCAGTTACTGCTCAGTGCCTATTCAGTTTAGACCAAATATGTGATAAACCTGCTGCATCTCTACCTCCTCATCTCATCCCTTTTGACATCAAAGGGCTTCCAAAAACGTTAAGGGTAGAGACATGAGATTCAGCTATGAGCTCTGGCCTGGCAGGTTCTGCTGACTCCAGTTCCCTTTCTGTGACCATTACTACAGAAGCAGCAAAGGAAAAAAAAAAAAAAAAGAGAGACAATTGTGCCCACCTCAGCCAGAGCAGCAGAGAAGTGATTACAGTTCTTGTGCATCAGGTGGTATGCATTTCCTTTGTACTCCTTCCCCAGCTCTTCCATAATCTTATCCACATCCTCTTCTGTGAAGTCTGTGGTGCCCAAGGCAATGGATTCTCTAGTTAAAAAGAGAACACACAACAGGAAATGTGGAAAGGTACACTGAAGAGAGTGACATAGATCCAGGGAAAAGGAAATGGTCAGATATTGGCAAGGACAGGATGAAAACATGGGCATGCATATCTGGGGCTGTCAGAGACTCTCACTAATGAAATGGCACAGTACTGTCCCCAGCTTATCTACAAAGCAGGTTACAGCACAGGTAGCAGCCCCAAGAGCTTCCTGCTCACCACCGGGAAAGTCTCAGCTCTGAGGGCCTGCTCCCACTCTGCCCACCGTCCCCACAACAGAAATCTCTAGTAGGACAGAGGAGATGGTTTTTTTGATCATTGAGAGGGTGGGCCAGGAAGGAGCAGACTGAAAACTTCATGCAGAAACCTATTGCTTCTCCCAATAGTCACTCAATAGCACTCATTCTTCTGAAAGTCTCCAGTGACCCCCAACATAAATTGGCTGTCTGGGAAGGTCAAGCCCCACGTGCCATGGGTAGTTCCTTGACCTGCAGCCCCACAGTCTGAGCACCCTGAACCCTCTCAGACTCCTCTAGCAGCTGGCCTGTCCCTTGTGACAGAGTAACAATAAACACAGGAGATGACTTCAGGTACTCTGTGCAGTATCCACAAATAGGTGGTGTTCATACAAAGACTAGGTTTTGTTCTTTCCCATGTGTGCTGGCTCTGTGTAACACAGTTACTCCCATCCTTGCTGCCATGTGAAACTGGGAGCACAGAAAACGAAGAAAATGAGAAGAGAACTGCATTCACCCGCAAGCATGCCTTTGAACCCTACCAAACACAGTTCAGCACTGTTCCCTGTTTGGTGTACACCCTTTTATCCATCTTCAAAATCCCTGCTGGGCGGCCTTTGAACCAGGATCATGTAAAGGATGCAGTAACAGTGCTTATGAGAAGGAAAGGGGGACCCAGAGGAGAGGACTCCCCTGCTCCCTCTATGTTGATGACTACCAGAGACAGAGGAGAAGATGTAGAAAAGGGGCCTTACTTGAATTTAAAGGTCTCGCCAAGTTCTACCGCGCTGCCAGGTGTGATCTCGAAAATCCCACTGAAAGGGTAGGGATGCCCTCCATAGGCAAACTCTGACAAGGAAAGAAACAGACTGTGAGTAATTGAATGAACACAATGTCAGGAAAAAGTCCATGGCAGCTGTCTGCACTGCTCAGCATCAGCACTGGGGGCTGGGCTATTGCCAAAATCCGTTCTAGCCAGATTCTGAAAGCCATCCTGTCTGTCCAGTTACCTCTCAGCCTGAGGATGCCCTCCATGCTAACCCTACTGCTTTCCCACAGCATCAGGAAAACCATCCAAGTCTCTGCCTGTCCAGGTGGCTTCCTCTCAGTGGAAAGTTCTGTGGTGGAGGCATTTAGATAAACTATGAGAGGCTGTCAGTGGTGGTACTGAGCTGGAAGAAGTCTTTTCTAGAGTAGGGAGAAATCAAATCTTCTTCCAGAGGGATTTACAGGCAGCAAGTGAGAATTCTTTGCAGAAAGCCAAGCTGATTACACTCCACTGCCTCAGCACACAGGTCAAGCCAGGAGGTCCCTCCATGTCATAACAGGCCATCTTGCACAGCCTGTGAAAGCTTCTGTGCTTGAGATGGAACACAGCACCCCAGGGGTTTTGTCTACTGCATGGCACTGGCTAAAAATGCCATGAGTGAGATATCCCAATTCATTCCCATTTAATGCTGAAGAGGGAAACAGAAAGTTTGCGATGCTAGTTTGTCCTTCACTGCCCTACAGCTTTTTCCAGATCCCTTGACTGTGCCTTTTGCAATGGGTGCTCTAATCGACTTCAACCCCCATCCAGACCATTTCAAAAGTCTTGCAAGACATTTTCTTTTCCTTGCAACTCTGCTATTTCAAAAGAAGAGCTTCCAGGATCTGGAAATCCAGATTCTAAGATTACTAGACCATAGACACTCAGAAATAATTACTGCAAAATGGATTTACCCTGACAGGGAATTAGCACAAACACACACTTTTGCAAGTCTCAAGACAACAACTGATCCACCTTTCTTCCCCCTCCCCCATTTCTCCCCTTCTTCACTGCAGAACAGCTTTCCAACATTGCTTCGTCCCTCCTATCTGCCATCCTGCTAGACACCTGCACAAGCTATAGAAGCTGCTGTTACATGCTGAAAATAAGAAGGGCAACATGATTCATGACAGAACTGCACAAGTTCCCACTAGACTCCACAATGGACTCCAACAGAAAACTGGCTGAGTTTTTCACTCCTGAAAACATCCCTTGCCAGAAGTTTTAAGTTACGTGTTCTTCTCCATGTCAGACTAGCCATACAGTTGTCCCTGTATTGTGCAGGTAGTGAAAAGGAAATACTTCATACCTCTGCCGTAGATCTCGATGCCAGAGTGGAAGACACCAATCCCCAAGGTGGAAGTGTATTCATTTATCCAGTACTACAGTAAGAGAAAAGCCACATTTGGAGGCATTAGTGGAAAAGAAACACATGATCTTTGCCTAGGATATATCCCCTGTCTCCCATCCTCAGGGCAGCTTCCCTTAAGGACAAGAGTCATTTTGAAGTTATCCCGAGACAAACAATTTGAGACTCCTTACAGACTAACAGAAGTGGGCACTGTGTTTAAACAGCTGGCTGGGATCGGGGCTCCAAAAAAAAAATGCTCATCTAATCCTTTCCACATCAGGAGTTTCCCTGTATCAAGATATAACTGGACCTGAACTTGCATAAACCCAGTTGCTACAGGATGTGTGATTATCTGTCTTCTCATTTAAATAGCTCACACTGGAACAGTGTTACCAATTTAGTTGTCTTACCTGATCTTCAAAATCTTGAGTTAAAGACTCCCCAAATATTTTCCACCCATCGTTTTACATCACCTCCCAATATCTACTTTTTATTAAGCTGGTTTTAGGCAATGACATCTTATAGAAGGAGATCCATTCCTCCTGTAGGTCAGAGGAGCACCATTTAGTAATCATCTATATGACACTGGTAACTGCTTTATAGGAAAAAAAAAAAAAAAAAAAGAAGCTCTGAGCATACTAGTCAACATTTTGCTCAGAGGCACCATATACTGTCAAGTACTGTTTTCACAAAGGACAATGGCTTGCTGCTCCAAAATTAAGTCCAAGGTGACCATAACTTCACCCACCCAAGACAAATTTTCAAGAGGAGCTGTTAAGTGACTTCATTGCTCTGGAGTCCATCACTTCCCTGGTACACTTGGAGCAAAGCAATACTGCAGTCTGGTGCATGCAAGCGACACTCCACCAAGCACTGCTTCCTGTTTCCACCATACCATGAAGGACAGTGCAAACACCCAAACAAGTCCCAGCTAAGCTAATTCTGGATGGGAAGCCGCACAGCCATGCCAGAGTAGTGCTGCATTGGAGGTAATTAGCCCTGCTCAGCACCAGTATTTATTAGGTTAGCTGCAGAGCTGTGCTACTCCAGAAATGGTATTTTCAGGCAGTGAGTGGAAACTGCCTGTGCCTGGTATAATTTACAGTTCACTTACAGCTACTGTGCAGTGAAGATTCATCTCCAGTAACTCAGAGCAACTGAATTCTTATTTTAATCAAGCACTACAAGAAAAGTGAGCATTGTTCACTTGTCCCTGTGCAATGACATGACAGGTTCATTCAGCTAAAATTCTCTTTTGGGTCCCGTAGCTGCTTCTGGTGGAGCCAGAATAAGCTGCCCCTTCCCTGGTGTCTGGTGTCACCTAGCTGCCACGGTATGAGCAAGAACCCCTCTGCTGTCAGGTAACCAGAGTTCTGGCATACTACATCTACTTTCCTCACACTGCTTGCTTATGTATTTTTGATGACCGCAGCAGCCCTGTAAATCACCTAGAAATGCTTTCTGAGAGACCACTGCTACTGTGGAAAAACACAGTAGCTTTGATATGAGAAGGGCAGTCCCAAGCCTGACTTAATGTACAGCCAGCCTTGATACCTTAAACTGTGTCCCGCCAAAATGCTTGCCTCTGGCAGTACAGCAGTTCCCTTTCCCTCCAGACAATGCTGTAATGTTTCTTGCTGTGTGTGAGTTTTGGTATCACAAATGATATATTACTGCAGGGAGGCAGCAAACCACCTGACCCTAGCTGGACCCCTGCCCACTTCAGACCTTGTACAACCTCCACTTATCTCTTCACTTTAATTATGCAAACTCTTGTTTTTAGGATACATCAGACCGTTGGACTGGAGCTAGGTCAGATAGCTCTCGACCTCTGCTAGCGCATTAGCCCGAACCCTCTGCTGAACACCATGCCTGGTATTTCAGGACGTGATACGCCCTTGCCTTCTGCTGCCCTTCTGCTCCACAGATCTCTGTCCTCTGCAGAAATCTGACCAGGGAAAAAGATACAGGGGTGGAGGCTGCATAGGACACCAGCCACCTCTGCTGAGGAGACCAAAGCCTGTCTCCCATGGACACGTAGCCCTCAGTTCAGTTCTTTGATCTCCCAGATCTCAGCAAGCTTCAGAGAAACACTAGTTTCTACAGAGTCCCATGGTAACAACTCCCAGAGGATACGGTAAGTAGGTTGTCTTCCTCCCTCAGGCTGAGCTATTGTCTCACAGCAACTATACAAGCACAACATGCCCAGGTCACGCCAGCTGCTTTGCTTAGAGGAGTAACTAATAGGAAGAGAAGGGAGACGATTTAAATTAGAAATGCTCTTGCCAGTTATCAAAGTCAGGGCTATCTGCAGAGGCTGCTCTGCATCAGGCTTTGTATTTCAAACAAGAAAGTTAAACTGAAAGCCACTTTCAGCTATAGCTTTTTCTTCCATGTTAAAGTTTATGCTGGATCCAAACAACAAATAAGCAAACAAGCAGAGAAAACCAAACCTCTCCTTGATTACCCTGTCAGAATAAAGCACGGAGAACTGTTCAGCTCATATGTGCACAACACTGTCAAAGCACAGTCCTCCCTGTCCCCCATCTGCCTGCACTGCCCTTGTTCCCAGCACAGAGCCACAGCCCCCGAAACCCACCCTGCCCAAATGCCAGGCTGCAGGACAGCTGTGAAAACAACTCAACCGCATGGATGCCATCCTGCGCAACCTGCTGTAGGTGACCCCGCTCTGGCAGGGGGGTTGGTCTAGATGATTTCCAGAGGTCCCTTCCAACCCTGACCATTCTGGGATTCTGTGATTCATGAGGAAGCCCCATCAGAGATAAAGAAGAGATGAGCAGAAGTATTTCTCCATCTGATACCAGGTGTTACGACCACCATATGCACATGTCTGTATTTAAATAGTGTATTTTTCACTGTGAATCCCTTTAATGAATATTGTGGACTGAACTGCAACAACCTCAGCCATACCTGAATTTGAACTGAACAAGCTGTACTGGTTTAGTACTTGAAGTGGGATCTGATTTGCATCTTGGTTCACTGCAAATAAAAATTTTCAGTTTTATCTACTAGCAAGACCAAAATGCAAAGCAGCTCTGAATCATGGCTGCTACTGTCCTCATCTCACCCCGTCTCCAGGGTGCTGCAGAGTCTGCCTCCGGTGTGCGACTGAACACGCAGTGAATGCCTGACGGCACTCTGGCACAGCCCACGGCTTGTCTCGGGAGGAAGCTATGCTAAAGTGAACATGTCAGTCATTTGTTGAGCTGGAAGAGAGAGTCCAAGCCAGATTTGAAACCAGGTTTGTACACATATGCACGAGCTAGCCTCGTTTTCCAAGGGGTTTGCAATTCTCAGCACAAGAACAGCAGCAACAGTCAGCAAATACTCATCGCTGGAGTAAATTGGCTATTGCTTAGATTAAAAACAAAAATCTGTAGGCTGTTCCAAGTCAGATGAAAGAGACGGGTAATCGAATACAGCAGTATCTTAAAGGGAGCTGTGATTCATGCCTGCATCGCACACTGCCTGCAAAATCGTGCCGTAAACCCTACGCAGAGGGACTTGGAGCATTCTGTGTCATTTCCATCTTCAACAGAGAAAGAGAACAGCTCAGCAGTGAACAGAGGAAGGGAGAAGAGCTAACCAGACTGCAGCTGCTTCACAAAAGCAACAGATAGCCCAGGACTCAAAATTCAAACCCAGAGAGAAACCTCCTCTTATTTACAGTTTGCAGTAAATCAGTTAAGAGTTTTTAATGCAGGTCCCTGATGAAGTAGAATTTGAAATTTTCTTTTTCATTCAAGCCTTCCCTGATTTCTTGGTTGGTTTCATTCAGAGATCAAGTGTCTGGTGAGATAGTTTAGATTCTGGGAGATACTCAGGGTCAGTTGTTGTGTTATTCACTTCATTTATCCATCTTTCATACAGAGGCAGAAGTGAAAGTCTCACCCGGACAGTGCCCTAACTTTCCAGAAAGGAAACTAAAAAGCTTCATTATATGGATATGCTTCTGGTAGGTCTAGGATGGAGAAGCAGATGGTGTGATACTAGCAGGTTATGTCATCCTGGGACTTTTCAGAGCATGAGTTCCTAGGAGCTCCTACCAGAAAGATGAGTTTCCAGACAGGAGAGACCCATCCATGTAACCACTAACTTCTACCATCAATTAATACCATACTTTAACATTGAAGTTTCTGTCACTAACTTTCTCTTTTCCTCCCTACTTCTGACCGTTATTTCCCATGGTGTGTCAGCAAAACCTTTCCTGCATCACCGTGCTGAAGAGTTTAACTAACCAGCTCCCTAGAGGCTGGAGACAAGACCATCCCCGTGACTATCTCAGATACTACTATCTCTGAGCAGCCAACACACTACACAATATTCCCTTTGTCACTCCACCAGATCCATCCACTACTGAACAGACACTAACCCATCCTTTCTTATGATCTGTATGAACATATAGAAAATAAATCTACTGAGAGTTGCTAAACAAATCTGATTTCAGCAAATACTTGCAAACTCTAAGTACTCAGTGTCATAGATCCTTGCCATGCTCTTCTGCTCTTCACTAGATACCGCACACAATCATTGTCTGAGCTAGGATACCAGGCTAGAACACAGCTTTGTTCTAACCTGCCTGGTTGCTCTGATGTCCATGTATGACCCCATGCTACTTTGAACAAGACACCTTTACCAAGGACGGGTGCAGATTATAAACCAGTAAAAAAACCATTAAATTAAGCATATCTTCTCTCAAAGCACCATCTGCATATAAACCAGTAGGATTATTTCCTTTTCCCCTGTGGATCAACTGGCAAAGCTTCATTTCTAGAAGGAAAGAAAGGAACAGTAAAGGGGGATGAGAGCTACAGAAGATATTCCGACATCGCTAGTGAGCAAGCAGCATGTTAAGGGACTAAAAGAAATAACCAAATCACCTCACTCTCTGCTAGTTTTCAGATCATGGAGCACTCCTGCCAACACAAGTCCAATAACAAACTCTCTGCTCTGCCACCTGGTCTTGAATTTAATCCTTTCCTCTTTGAGAGCCAAGTCACACACTGTATC